CAAGCATGAAAGAAACTATATGATTACGGAACTTGAATGTCTTGCTGTCGTTTGGGCAATTCGATATTTTAACCACTATTTATATGGACAAAAATTCATTGTTGTTACTGATCACTCCGCTTTGGTGTATTTGAAAAATAATGCAAACCCTGTTGGTAAACTTGGATGATGGATTATAACTTTAAACTCCTTTGACTTTGATATTATAAATTGACCCAGAAAACAACACTCAAACGTAGATACATTAAGTCGAATAGAACACTAGCATATAATAAATTTAAAACAACATAATTGGATTTAACTTATTTTTGGATAACACTAACGGATAATTCTAAATTGATATAATGGATTCAGGAACATACTTCTCACTCATACAATATTTAACGGATTTTAATATGCCAACATATCTCACCAAAGAACAACAACAAACGATAAAACGAAAATCTTGATATTTTATTTTAATTAATGGACAATTATATAAGAAAAATAGAATCGACCCACAAAGGCCATACAAAGTTGTAAAAGAAAATGAAGTCGATACAGTGCTCTATAATTTACACTCTGATCTATTAGCAAGGCACTTCGCATTAGAAGAAACATTTAGGCGAGTAAAGATTCGTTATTACTGGTCTCAAATGTATAACGACGTAAGACGATACATTCAAATGTGTGATGAATGTCAAAGAAGGGGAGTAAATAGAAGGACAGAACCATTACACCCCATAAAAGTCAGTCAAACCCTTCGATCGAGTAGGAATGGACATCGTTGGACCTTTGCCAAAGACTGAAAGAGGGAACGCATATAACGTAGTTGCAATGGAATATTTGACAAAATGGCCCGAAGCTAGAGCTATTCCTGATGTAAAAGCATCATCTGTTGTGTCCTTTTTCTACGAAGACATCATATGCTGACATGGATGTCCTAAGGTACTCTTGACTGATAGAGGAACCCACTTTGTCAATGAAATGTTAAACTCCTTGTATGTTGAATTAGGAGTCAAACATAAATTATCAACGGCGTATCACTCACAGACCAACGGATTGGTTGAACGATTCAACCGAACGTTATATGAAATATTGGCGAAATTTGCATCAGAAAACAAAGATGATTAGGATTTCTATGTACCATCAGCTCTTTTTGCCTATAGAACAAAGAGGCATAATACAATCCGTCACGAACCTTTCTATCTGTTATATGAACGAGAGGTTACCTTGCCAATAGAATTCGAAGTTCAAACCCAACGAGCACAACCAAGTACCGCAAGTCACGATGAAAGTCTTTTAGAAAGGATACATGATATCGTTGGAAGAATACATGATGATTGGACTGAAGCACAAAATAATATAAAAAAGTCCCAACAAAAACAAAAACAGCGCCATGATAATAAATTAAAGGAGGCATAAACATTCAAGATTGGAAATATGGTTTTGTTGTATAAAAGCGGTATACATAAATGAAAGAAGCTAGAGGAACGATGGAGGGGACCATACTATATACATGAGGTTCTCTCTAATGGGGCATATAAACTACGGACCTCTGATGATAAAATATTAAAAGCCCCGTGAATGGTGATAGATTAAAGTTGTACCACTCTAGATCATTGTGAAATGTCTTGTAAACCAAAAAAGGAAGATCCCGATAGTTACGAAATCTATTGTCTCGAAAATTATAAATATCGTCACCCGAATCGAAAAATTAAAAAGATTTCCTCCCTTCAAATAATGGAACACTACTCTAAGGAATTAAGAGCAAATTTCTGTCAATTTTTGAAAACCTGGTTGCAAGAAGCTGATAGTGACGAAAAACTTGAAATTTCCACTTCCGCAGTAATCATCTCGAAGACCAATGGACAAAATTCAATGACGACCCAGTCATTGTTAGGGGAATCATTGAACGAATCAATCCTTGAGAAATGCAAGGAAGATCTTGAACAGGTCCCTCCGGAAATAATGGTTTTTCCTGATTATATATCACAACTCGAAGACATATGATTGCAAATACTGGTGAAACTAGTAAAAGAAAAAAATTTTCGGATCCAATCTAATATACATCGACTCAAAACATTTTATTATTTGGGAGAATTATTAGCCTCGCGAGGATGGATCTCTGAAGACAAGAATGTTCTTCTTGAAAATTTTTCTATCTGAAGATATAAAGAGATTAAGAAAATTGTACGACGAGTCTATGACTTGTTCATAGCAAGAGGAGTTTCGAGTCTGTATCTCATAAAATATATTCGTCCAACATATTTGACTAACATGAAGGAGAACGATTTCTATAAACATCTAATACCAGAGGCTAGACGATAAAAATAAAGAGAATTTGAATGATTGTGATCTCGCAGGAGCTCGACAATTAAAGGAGACATATATTATAAATAAATATAATTGTTCTATCGTGTTCTATTAGTTCCAGGGCATTGTGTCCCATTTCTGTTTAGTTTAAAAATCAAGTTTTGTTAGTATTTAGTTAGATTTCTGTAGATTGATGGCCCAATTGTCCCCTGGCCAAATTGTCTGCAGGCCAATTCGTCTCCTGGCCAATATGCCATCCGGCCATTATGTTTCGAAGACAAAAAGGCCTCTGAACGATTGGTTCTTGCTGGATTTTCAATATAAAAGAGGTGGGATTTCGCTTGAGTAAAATATATGAAGTGTTCCATATATTCCCTAGATAAAAATGATAGACAACATTAGCATATATCCCCTTTCCTTTTATTTGTAACGATAACGAAAGTATAATAATAAATTACGTATTTGATCGTATAGAGCGCCGACGATTGAGGCAATACTTTATTTACGTAGATTTATGTTAGATTCATTTGTTATTAATAAAGACACTTAATTCATTTTTATATATAAATCTTTTGCTTACCTTTTCTATTGTTTATAACCAATAAATGTTTCAAACTGCGTGCAATAATATTCATTTGTTGATAAATAGTTTCCACTTTTTCTGCACTGTTTTTACCCTCTCTTCTAATTATGAATTTAAATGAAATTTCTATGTTTTTATTTTCAGAAACTTCAATTTCAGAATTACCTACTTCATCTTTAATATTAAATTGTATATCACCTTCTATTTCAATACCCAAAATTTTATCCTCCTCTTCATTATTTACCAGATTTTTCTCAAATTCTACTTTATTAATTTCTTTTAATTCATCTACCTTCATCATCATCATGATTCTCATCATTATCATCATTTTATCAACATCATTGTCATCATTATTATTTATTTCTCTAGAATTTTTAGCTGAAGAATTAGATCTAGTTAGTCTTGATGCTTGGTATGATTTGTAAGTTTTGGTAGATTACTGGTATGGTCTTTGTTGTTTGAGATTTTTTTAAGTTGCATAAACCATATTTAAATTTTCAAGAAAAATCCATTCTATATAAATAAATTCTATTAGCTTCACTTAATTCTGACAATTGTAACTCTGGTGTTTTGTATTTAAATCATATACTCTGAAGTAACTATTTCTTTTTTATTGTATTTCTTATTTTTTTTTCAAATTGACATTATTTAAAAGACAATAGTTCATTATAATTTAAACATATTTGTCACAAAAAACATGTGCCAATTTGTTACATTCTTGAGTAGGGTACTTTTTTCTTAGGCATTATGACAAAAATAATGAACGCGATACAAAATTCTTGTGTTATGCAGTGATCGGCTAATCATTTAATCACGTGATTTTTGTGTTTGTGTTTTTGTCGATCATCACGCGACGATAATTAATTTATAAATTTCAAAAAAAAAAAAATTATTTAATTTTTATATTTTGTCAATTTGTTACAAGTGACAAGTGATTTTTCTATACATTATCGCATTTATTTATTTTTTTTAATAACTCAATATCAACTTAATAAATCAAAAATATTTTAAATTAAAAACTTGAATAATGTAAATGAAAAATGGTATTAGGATAAATAACCGATCCAAGACCGGTCTTACCAGGACTAATCAACCTTAGTCGAAACCTAAGGGTAATGCCGCAACCTTATTCATAAATCAATTATTTTATAGCTGCATGCCATAGACCGGCCTGGACCATTCCTCAGAATAAGCACCGAGGTCCCATTAACCGGTCCAAAACCGGTCTTATCAGGACCGATCCAACCCTAGGTTTAAACATCATCTATTAATTGAGAGGAAATTTAGCATAATCAACAAATGCGCAGTTATTGAGAAAATACATACCTGGTCCTCCCATAGTAAATGCATTTCTTTCCAGCATATGAATTCTTACTAATCAAATGCGGGGTTGATCATGAATGATAATCACTAAAACTTTTGCTTACGTGCATATAACATTATAAATCATTAAAGTATCTACGGAAAAGTTTCTGTGGAATTGTAATTGTACATAATTGTCGAAGAGGAATCATAACTACAGCAACTCATCGATCAGGATTGAGCTACGTTCTGAGGAAATCTTCGATTATAATCAATATAAATTGTGAATAATTGCGATAACGCCTCTTGATTCATATTCAATTTCTTTTTAGAACACGCATAAATATATACATTTCACTTAGTTTACATTAAAAATTATATTTTTTTATTAAATAGAATAAAATGTATACTGTTGTATATGTGGCCAAGCAATAAATGAATTATTTCGAACCAATATCCAATTAGCAAATAATGTGGAAATCAAACGATGACATCAAAGGTCTCGAAACAAGGAATGTATATAAATGTGCAAGAAATGAATGTAAGTTTACTCTAAAAAGGTATAACTAATAAATGATAATTGAACCTTACATGAGTAATGAACTTTTTTTTTCACAAGTTTACATTGTCATAATGTACAAAATAAAATATTTTAATTATAAATTTGTCTATAAGTTAATTTATCAATATACTAATAATTTATATAATATTTACAATGATTTCTTTTTGCATTATAATGTTATCGCACGATAAATTCTTTGACTTTTCAAAATCGTCTCTTCGATAATCAAAACACTATATTCTGCAACAATATTTTCTTTCATCTCAAGACTGTGGATTTTTCTTCAACTCGGACTCCATTGATTCCGTGAAATTTTCCTGAAACAATATATTCATACTTTTTGGGGTCTTTTAGCTGTTCCAGGACTGAAGATATCCGGGGATGATCCTGTTGGCACTCATTCCAAAGCCAAGGAGCCCTGCAAAGATTTAGTGGGTCAGGATGATGTAGGAAATGATTGATTGCTTCTATAAATTATATTTTACCTGTTTTGTACCATTTGATCATATATTTCAGTCATGTCTCCAAAATCGTATTGCCAATATTTTTCAGAACGTTTTCCACGAAATTCACTGTGATAATTGGCATCAGGGCCTTCTTCTGATCCTAGCCTAAGAAATCCTTTTATCCTTAAACTCGCGGTGACGATCAGTGTGGCTATATAGTTGACGGTAATTGACTGATCGCTTACAATACTGGTAATTTGAATCCTAATCAAATGAAATGAATTTAAAGCATGTGATTTTACTTAATTTAAGCCGAAAGAAAATTATTATATACCTTTTCCCTGCGGGAATAAAGATTTCACTTGTGCTGGATTCTGTTCTAGTGATGGTCTTGGTACGACCATGTTTATTGAACAGCTCTTGCGAAAATCCAAATCGGAGTCCAATCGAAGTTTCCCACATTTCCTTGATCCCTTGCTTATAAGAGTCTGAAATTTCTTGGTCGAAGGAGAACTTCGTTGACGATTCCCAAGTCAATTGTTCCGTTACCGTGTAATCCACTTTTCTTGTAATGGTATTGCTGATGAAAAGAGAAATGTTAATGTCTATCCATTAACGAGGATCACTTAAATCAAAGCTGAAGCATACTCCTCAGGATAAGGACCATAAATTCTTGTGTTGATCTGACGAGGGTTAATGTATTCGATGATTGGGTCGGACGGCACAAGGTTTTTAAAACCATGCGCAAAGTCATAAAGCATAAAAGATGGTAGTCTGTCACTCCAAAAGCCATCCGTTTTCATAGTGCATATCCACTTGTAGCCAGTGGCCGCACGTCTGTACTGTCCGTTACCTGCAGCACGAAGTTATAAATTTTCATAATGAATTATTCAACAAATAAATTACTTTACGGAATAAAATCAATAACCTACCAGCCCATCCCCATCCTAGATCAGCGGCTAATTGATCTATAAGAGTAAGGGTGGAATTCATTATATTATTATATATGAATTCTATGTTTTTGCCGTCAAACGGCCTTGCGCTAATTAACGCAACGATATTTTCTTCCCAAGAGTCCGTTTCTTTTTTTCGTCTATCCCAGACGATACTTGAAGCCGGACCTCTAGCCGCAAGATTATAGCTATTTTTGAAAGTGCTGAACTCCTCTTGGAATTCAGTAATTTCAACGTAGTCCCCATTTTTTACCCTGTCACGGATGGGTTGAATTTTTTCGTCCCATAGCCTAGTACTAAAGTATTCAGAAGCATCCATATTAAAGATGCTCATATTTTCTTGGTCCATTTTGATGCTGTCAACTAGGGATTTTCTTCGGTGTTTTATATAAGCTTTAGAAGCTGCTCTTTGACGACCTGGGATTGTTTTGGTTTTTAAATCAAAATCCGACGTCGCAATTTTCTTTTCACTTTTTAATAAGACTATGAATATGTATGTTAGTCGACGTGAATAAATGCAACATGAGTAAGTAATTCGAGATTTACTCACATTCTAATTCAGTTTCCGACATGGGAAATGTCGGTAACTTTGTATTTACTTGGAGCTCGTAATCGGATAAGATCTGATCAAAAATAACGTCCACAACCTTTCTGAAGTCATCCATGTACTGTTTCATATATGCTCGATATTCTGTAGCAAATTCCCTATCCCTGGAAAGCAGCTAATGAAAAAAAATTAAAATAAATTTGTAAGTATGAGGAATGTACAGCAAATCTTATCTTTTGATATTTTTTGATTGTAAACTTACTCTATATTGGAAAACGCTACGACAATCATTCGTGATGAAAAATGGAAATTTTGATGTCTTTTTATCATATTTATCCAAAATGTCAACGCAACATTTTGTTAATATCTTATCAAGGTGTTTCGGCTCCCCACGGAGCTTTGAATGAAGTTTCACAACATACTCCGATTCGAGCTGTTCACATGCCTTCGAATAATTTTCATTGGTTGAATTTAAATTTAAGGCATTGGCAGCCTTAAGTTCTGCGGCGTCGGATTGAATTACGTCATTAAACTTTTTGATAACGTTATCGGCTAAATCACCCGGAAAACCGGCGTCGGAAATTTGTTTAAAAAATTCAAATTTAATTCGAACGACAAGCTTTCTAGTTTCTGATTCAAAAACAGTATCCTCGAATGGCATTTGTGACTCCGGAAGTGTTTTTTCAAGCAGTTTATGAAATTTTTCCTTGTGCAAAAGCAATAAGGCTCTGGCACTCTTGTTCCAAGAAATTTCATTGCCGTTATCTTGCAATGTACATCTACCACAATTTATGGATGTTTTCAAAAGCTTTCCAGCTTCGTATAGGACAACGTTATTTGGCTCAACGGTTTGAATTTCGTTGTTAATAATGATTTGCATTTTTTTATTTGATATTTTTGTGAATTTGCGTTATTTATTCCTGCATATATATATAATTAAGATGGATCACAAAATTAGACTACCGGAGTTCTCAACCGAGCAAAAAAAGCGATCATAACACCACATATTTGCTTATTTGCTTATAACACAAGATTGCATCAACTTTAAACGAAACATTTTTCAAACGTCGAAAAACCTCAAAGTATGAATTTATAAGGTAAAATGGAGGAGTGTTTTTCTACAAAGTACGATATCATATGGACGATTTGAGTGGTATTGACTTAATTAATCATTAAATTCTATTTTGAAATATTGTATGCGATACCTTCTTGACATGAAATGCTTTCACAAATTTTGCTTGAATTCCGCCTGAATACTCATGCATATAAACTAGATGCATGCATTGTTTATTTTACTTTCAAAGAATTTTTTTTTTCTTTTTTAAAGGTTACTTCAATTATCAACTACTAAATTTGGTTCTTGGGCTGAAATTCGAGATTTTCCGTAAATATGCACAATTTCCACATTTGAAATTTCTACTGCGAAAATTAAAAATTGAAATGCAGATCAGTCAATAAAATTAATAAAAATTCCGCGATTTGTTCATGCATTTGTAAAAGATTTGCAAGCCAAAGTTGGCTCGTCAAACCATACTGTCGGGATAACCGAATTTTTTTTTTATTTAAATTTAATTAATCGCAAGTGTAAACAAGACAAGATTCAAGTTCTTTTTTATAAATGTATACTTTACGGTATGACGATAAGATAGAAATTACTTAATTGTTAAATTTATTCTCTTTAAAAAATATATTTTAAACGTACTTTTTAAATCATAATTGTAGATTGTAACAACACTGGAATGCCCAGGACCCAAAAAAATGTATATGGAGTTAGATCATATAGAGAGACCTCTCTAAGTGCACCCTTTATAAATGCACACACTCATTATATGCAATGAACACTTAAGCTTGAGACTTAGGCATTAAATGCATCTTCTATATTCTGCACGTGTGTTTCGTAGGCAAATTTGCCTACTTATTTACTATAAATTCTCCTCTATTTACTTTTATAAATAATTAAGATTGTTATAAATTTTTTTTTAAATTAATTTTATAAATATATAATACATTATAACAAGTTTTCTCTTTTTAATTATAGGGAGCTTTGCTATTAAAAATGGGTTCCGGGGACCTTTTAACAAAAAATGAGATTTTTGATTCATATTTATAGTATAATAAATGAACTTTATTTGGTTAAATTTTTAGAAGTTATTAGCTTATTAATAAAGCAAGTAATTAGGCCAGCAAAATTCTGTGTAACATCGATCATAAAATCTAAAATTAGATTTTAGAAATGATCGACGTTAATTTTAGAAATGATCGACATATGCTAAAATTAAATTTAATAAAGTTTATAAAGTTTCAAATTTTTTAATGTTTTAAAAAATTTAAATCTTATGTATATAAACTTTTTATTTATGGGGGTTTGGGAAGTATTCATACTTTTCAAAAAAAAAATTTACATCTAGTTAAAATAAATTAAATGAAAATTTATTAAAAAAGAATATAAAAAATAAAATAAAATAATAAAGTAAAAAAAGTAAATAAAAATAAAAATAAAAATAAATAATAATAAATAATATAATAATAATAATAAATATTAAGATTCAAAACAATAAATATCTTTATATGGATTATCTACATATTATCTAATCTTTTTATACAAATATTTTCTTCTTTCACTTGATATTATTGCCACTTCTAAAATATTTAATTGTTCATATATATTAAAATTCTTATTATTTAAAAGTTTAAATGAAATTTCATCACCACCAGATTTTTTTGAACAATAAACTTTTCCTAAACTTGAGGTAACTTACTAAAACGAAAGTGATAGTAATCTTTATATGAGGGCAATTTATAAAATTTTGTGAAAAAAAGCCTTGAAAATCATACCAATTCCATTCAATTCTATTATGATATTTAAGTCCTATATTAGCACTTGCAGATTTATTTATAATTTTTTCAACATCATCTATAATATTAATATTATTATCTTTAAAAGTTTTTTTGATTTTTCCAAAAAATGAATCACAAATAAACTTTGTATGACCTGGTATCATAAAATTAATAATAATATAATCAAAATAACCCATCATATATAACCAACTCCAAAAAAATAATGATAAATTATTTTTATTTTGTGTACCACAATTATTACAGGTTATTTGTAAATTTTTTGCTTCAGGATCATTTTCAATAAATTTTTTAATTGCTTGATAAACCATATTTAATATAGTGTTTGCTCTTTTCCTATTCATCTTCAGCAATTATAAAATTTATTTTGTTGATTTTTTTCTCCAGTTTTACAAATACCAAATAAATGAATAGCATAAGTACTTTTAAAGTAAATTGATTTTACTTGTTGTGGTGAATAAAGAATTATATGTTGTGCCCAATCATAACAAATATGTATTGTTGATTTATTAATTTTACTATTTTTAATATTATTATTATAATGATTTCTTTC